GCAGTAGGGCTTTCTATCTGATACACAATGTGTGTTGTTATTGATGCCAATGAAATATACATACTACTAACTTTCAAAAAATAATACTTCACTTAGTTTGGAAAATACTATAACTTCATGTTATCAAGAATAAAATATTAACATGGAATTATAATAGCAAAGCATTGTTGGCATAAAATACTAGTCAACAAAACAATATGCTTTTCTTTTTTAGTGAAATCACAGAGGATAGGGTAATTCATTCCTAGAATTTTATTTTCACAAACACAGTCAATACTTACAAGATGCTAGACAATAATAGTGAATTAGTTACCAAAAACACCAGATGAATTTGGTTTGTTTAGTATCTCTTTGGCAGATAACCACGATGCTTCTGAGGAAGGCTCCATGTGTTCTCGAGTTTTGACGTAATGGGTCTTTACTGCTGTCATAGAAATAGAATGCTCTACTGCAGAGCCATAGCAAGAAACACCAAGTTTCGCCCTAGCTGGTTTGGCTCAGTGTGTAGAGCATAGGCCTGCGGACTGAAAGGTCCCAGGTTTGATTCCAGTCAAGGGCACATGCCCAAGTTGCAGGCTCTATCCCCAGTGGGGGATGTGTAGGAGGCCAATTAATGATTCTCTCTCATCATTGATGTTTCTATGTCTCTCTCCCTCTCCCTTCCTCTCTGAAATCAATGAAAATATATTAAAGAAAAAAAGAATGACCAAGTTTTATGTTTAGTTTCTCAGAATGTTCTAGCTTAAAATGACTACTAGATCACAGCTTTAAAATCTCAGTAAAGTTACTGGCAGCTTGATTGGAACAGTTTCTGTTCTCACTTAATCCCACCGGACAGACAGGATCTTTGTGGTGCGGCACAGTGCCATTGAGACAACTGGTGTCACCTGATAGAGTGCATTACTCTAGGACAAATAAAGTCAGATTTGTATTTTATCTTTGGAGGCCTAACGAGCATTTTGCTGAGCACGACTTCTTGTTTGTGTGTCTGCTCACTACTTTATAGTTTAACAGACTTTGTCCCTCAGCAGTTTGTGTCCAACTCTGTGTCCAATAGCTCATAGTTAATAAAAAAAGTCATAGTGTGAATCATTACAAAAAGATACATTGATACCTTAAATATTTTCTTAATCTTACAGCTTATATGTGTAATTAGTTTAGCAATCTTTTTTTAAATATACTTTTATTGATTTCAGAGAGGAAGGGAGAGGGAGAGATAGAAACATTAATGATGAGAGAGAATCATCGATCAGCTGCCTCCTGCACGCCCCCACTGGGGATTGAGCCTTCAAACCAGGCATGTGTCCCCAACTGGAATTGAACCCTTCAGTCCACAGGCCGATGCTCTATCCACTGAGCCAAACCAGCCAGGGCTAGTTTAACAATCTTTTGATGGAACATCAAAGACTTTACATTTGGTCTGCTGATTATTAACAATCACTTTTATTTTGATATTTTATTTTTTTCACTTTTATTTTTAATTGAATTTATTGGGGTGAAATTGATTAATAAAATTATATAGGTTTCAGGTGTACAATTCTATAATACATCATCTATATATTGTACTGTGTGTTCATCACCCAAGCCAAGTCTCCTTCCATCACTATTTATCATCTCCTTACCCTCTTCTACCTCCCTCCCACTCCTGTTCCCTCTGGTAATCACCATGCTATTGTCTGTGTCTATTAGTTTTGTGTGGGGTTTTTTTGCTTGGTTCCTTTACCTTTTTCACCCAGCTGCACAACCCTCCTCCCCTCTGATAGCTGAGTCTGTTTCCATTTTGTTTGTTAGGTTTTTTTTGTTCATTGGTTTCCACGTATGAGTGCAATCATATGGTGCCTGTCTTTCTCTGACTGGCTTATTTCATTTAGCATAATAATGTCCAGGTCCGCCGAACCGGTTTGGCTCAGTGGATAGAGCGTCGGCCTGCGGACTGAAAGGTCCCAGGGTCGATTCCGGTCAAGGGCATGTACCTTGGTTGCGGGCACATCCCCAGTAGGGGGCGTGCAGGAGGCAGCTGATCGATCTCTCTCATCGATGTTTCTAACTCTCTATCCCTCTCCCTTCTTCTCTGTGAAAACTCAATAAAATATATTAAAAAAAAAAAATAATGTCCAGGTCCATCCATGCTGTTGCAAAGGGTAAGATCTTCTTTTTTTACAGCCAAGTAGCATTCCATTGTATAAATGTACCACAGCTTTTTTATCCACTCATCTACTGATAGATACTTGGGCTGCTTCCAAATATTGGCTATCTATATAAAACCCTAAGCGAACTTTAGGATGGAATGACCAGAGCAACCAGTCGCTATGATACGCACTGACCACCAGAGGGCAGACACTCAATGCAAGAGCTGCCCCCTAATGGTCAATGCACCCCCACAGGGGGAGCGCTGCTCAGCCAGAAGCCGGGCTCACAGCTGGCAAGTGCAGCAGCAGGGGCAGGACCATCTCCCGCCTCCGCGGCAGCGCTAAGAAGCAGCGAGCAGGTGGGTGGTAAGGAGCAAGGGGTCCCAGACTGCAAGAGGGATGTCAGCTTGCCAGGAGAGGGCCAAAGCAGGCGGACATCCCCCAAGGGGTCCCAGACTGCAAGAGGGCGCAGGCCAGGCTGAGAGACACGCCCCCCCCGCCAGTGCATGAATTTTGTGCACCGGGCCTCTAGTTGTAAATAATGCTGCAGTAAACATAGGGGTGCATATATTCTTTCAAATTAGTGTTTCAAGTTCCTTTGGATATATTCCTAGAAGTGGCGCTGGGTCATAAGGCAGTTCCATTTCTAATTTTCTGAGGAAGCTCCATACTGCTTCCCACAGTGGCTGCATCATCCACAATCAGTTTTAGTGAGGCATTCAAACCAACCAAACAAAAAACCAACCAGCACATATGAACTGAGCTCATTTATGTAAAATGGATAAAGATGTTAGATAAAAAGATGGAATTAGGGAACTTCATGATAATAGGCAAGTGAAAAAGCAGGTTACAGAATAGTGTTTATTATAGTGCTAGCTATTCCAGAAAAGCAAACTGACAAAACCCCCTGAATGTTGGTATGTACGGTGAACGAACAAGGAGAAAAGTGTGGAAGGCTGTTAACACCAGTAAATTCAGGAAGATGAAGACATAGAATGTGTAATGTGGCAGGGGACAAGGGAATGATTAGCTTTGTTTTAGACATCTTTGTATTGTAATGAATTATTGCAGAAATATATGATCAGTATAAGATAATATGAAATAGATATGTTTATTAGAAAATGAAAAAGAATCTACAGAAAAATTATTAGAACTAATATAAGACTTTAGTAAGACTGCTAGATAAAAATAAAAATTCATTGTATTTCTAAACACCAGCAACAAGCTGTTGGAAAATACCATTTACAATAGCAACAAAATATAAAGTAACTGAGAATAAACCTAACAGAACATATGCAAGACCTGTATGGAGATGATTATATACATTACTGAATGACATTAAAGAATACTTCAGTATCCAGAGAGATAGACCATCTTTTTAGATTGAAAGACTCACTATTTTAAGAATATTTTCACAAAATTGAGTTATAGCTATAATGCAGGAAAAGCGATTATGACAATGTAGAACAGAATAGAGAGATCAGAAACAAAACTACAACTATACATTATGCAAACTTGCGTTATGACAAAGAGTCATAAGCAGCTAAAAAGAATGATCTTTCCAAAGTTATGCACTCTCCCTGGGGGCAGCCTGCACCCAGTGGTTGGTCACAAGGGCTTATAAAGGCCTAGCAGCCCAGCCCAAAAGAGGTCAACCTGAAGGATCCCAGCTTCAGAGCTCCCTGTGGGGTGAGCTGAGACTTTCCTTGAGATCCCATCACAGTTCAGGTTCCCCCTCTGTCCAGGCCTGCTTCACTTCCCTTTCCCTCCACAGGTGTTATCCCAAGAGTACTTCCTCATTAACTTCCTGCACATATCTCTGTCTCAAAGTCTATTTCCCTGGATTAGCCCTGTCCGGTTGTTCAGTGGTTAGAGCGTCGGCCCAAGGGCCAAAGGGTTGCAGGCTCACTCCCTGGCCTGGTAGAGGTGCGTGTGGGAGGCAACCAACCAATGTGTCTCTCTCACATCAATGTTTTTCCCTCTCCCCACACCCACCTTCCTTCCACTCTATCTACAAGCAATAGAAAAACATCCTCAGATGAGGATTAAAAAGAAAAGCAGGTTAGAGTACTTGGTAAAGTTGAAGATGCACATACAATTCCATTCCTAGGTATATACTCTAGAAAAACGCTCACGTGAAAATATACAACAGAGTTCTTCTTAATGGGGAGAGATGAGGATGTCATCAGAAAAGTGCCATATGGGGGTTCTAAGGTACTGGAAGAGATTAAATTGTCTCAAACAAGAACAAACAACAAAGGACTTTCTATAAAATGAAGAGCTCACTTGCCTGGGAGGGTAAGTGCCGAGGGACTTGAGGACTGAAGGATGATGGAATGCAGATCAGTGGCACATCTGTAGAAGGCAATCTAGCAGTGGATTCTGAAACCTCTTGGCCTGGAAGAGGTGGGAGGGGTGGGCCACAAAGGCTTCCTAATCTGGCCAAACAGTAGGGGTCAGGCAAGAAGTTAGAAAGAAGTTTCGCTTTATAGAATGAGGCCAGCTAATGGAGTACCTTGAGGGCCAATTAAAATGATCCATATTTGGTACGTTGGAAAGAGAAGTCATGAACAATTGTGAGCAGAGGCGGAACATCCTGGAAGAGGTGTATCAGGAAGGGGAATCCAGCTGCCGAGTCTGTCCCTGGTCGCAGCATTTGCACCTTTATAAACACGTACCCTTCTCTTGACTGGAAAAAATGCTTCTAGTAAATGGTACTGGTGACTAAGATCAGTGGCTTGTGGGCAATAAATTACTTACTGGATTTCTGTTTGCAGAGTTTGGTGCTGCTCTCTGACTAGCAGTGCACTCTCCGTGCCACACAGCTGTTGTTCTGACCGTGTTGTTGTCTTTGCAGGCTCAAATGGTTAACGTTGTCCTTAAATGACCGCATGGAGAGCCGCCCTGTCCTGATTACAATAGCATCTATGTCTGATCTTGGACAAGCCATGCTACAGTCATAAGTCTGCCACTCTGGTATGTGCACTATCCCAGCAACACGTTTTTCTCAAAGCTGAAAGCCACGCAAATAATAGGCAGGTCTCATTTCCTGAAAAGATCTAAAATTGCTTTTGTTTTGAGGGCCTATTATCTCTTTGGAAGACACTTGATTAAAATACAATGCTAATGGGCCTAAGGTTTCCAGTGAATCCCCTGGTGAGAGCTAGTTTCCTCCATTTCTATGGCCTCAGATGGTATTTCTAATGAGTGCTCTGGCTCCTTTCACAAAAATGGGGCCACACAACAATCCTTACCTGTAGTTTAATACCGCTGCAGATTCTGGAGCTAATCTTGTTCTTCGACCAGGGGAATCACAGAACCTGGGCTATTAACTCCATGGTACTCAGCAAAATGATTGCTGTTTCTGGTCCTCTTCTTGCACCTTCCAGGCATGAACGGACTCTGGTCTTTCTTTCTGTAGACACGTCTTTTTAGTCCCTGTAAGTACCTAGTTTTATCTCTGTAGATGCCCCTTCCCCTTAAGGGCTCCAGACTGGTCCACCCCACTCCCAAATTTCAGGAAATGAAGGTCAACCATACTCAGACATTTGTCTGGGCCTGTATTATGTGCTGCTGCATCCCTGGCACCCTTTAACACCAGGGGAAATGCAAGGTTGCCCCTCCCTGCACTCTGCTTCCTGAGGAAGAAGAGCTCAGCTGTAAATTGTCCAAAGTACTTGGGCTCTGTAACTTGTGTGGTGTGAGTGAGTGTGTGGGTATGTGTGTGTGTGTGTGGGAGGGGTGTTGTGTGGTAGAAGGAAGGAGGGCCATGGGATTAAAAATAAGTGTGTTTTTGTACTTCTTTTTGAGGTGTAGCAAACAAAGTATACATATTTTAGATGTACAGTTTAATAAATTCTTATATATTGAATGTACCCAGGTCATCCCTACCCAGAACAAGATATGGAACATTTCCAACAGCCCAGGAAAATGTCTTCAGTCTTTTCCCAGGCAATGTTGAACACCCCCACCAGCCTGGACCCAGAGACAACTACTAGTCTGACTTCATGGCCATTCTTAGTTTTGCTGTTCTTTAACTTTATAAACTTGAATCATACAGAGTGTTCCTTTTGTGTCTGGCCTCTTTTGCTCATTGTTATGTCTGTGAGATTAATTCATGTTGTTAGTCTATGTTCTTTTCCTTGGGTATCTCTCCCCTTGACTCATTTCACCATTGCAGTAGTGAAACCAAGATTCAGTCCTGGGCCTAGCGGAGAGGTAGACCTTAGGTCAGAGGAGAAGCAGTCTCATACAATCTGCCCTATAAGTAAGACTTGTAGGCTTTAGGACCAAAGCTTAATAGCGACTGTCCTGGAGTGTTGCAGTAGGCACCTGGATGATGGCCACATTATCTTTTGACACTTTTCCTTATTATATTCCTTTGAACATGGCACTTGCCTCAACAGGGTTTTCCCCTGGTCATGTGATCTTCTGTGAATGCCTAACTATAGATTCTGCTAATTCCTACCTGTTCACGGCTCTCACTCCTGACCAAGGAGTAAGAGAATAGAGCCAGCCCAGCAGTGTGGCTCAGTGGTTGACCCAGAAGGTCATGGTTCAATTCTGAGTCAAGGCACGTGCCCAGGTTGGGAGCTCAATCCCCCGTGGGGTAATGCAGGAGGCAGCTGATCAATGATCCTCTCGCATCATTGATATTTCTATCTCTCTTTTCCTCTCCCTTCCTCTCTAAATCAAATATATATATACTAGAGGCCCGGTGCACAAAAATTTGTGCACTCGGGGGGCGGGGGGAGGGGGGTCCCCCAGCCCGGCCTGTGCCCTCTCACAGTCTGGGACCCCTCGGGAGATAACGACCTGCTGGCTTAGGCCTGCTCCCGGGTGGCAGAGGGCAGGCCCAATCCCTAAGTGTAGCCCCTGGTCAGGCTCAGAGCAGGGCCGATTGGGGGGTTGGGGCACCGCCCCCTGTCACACTCAAGGCAGGGTCGATAGGGAGGTTGCGGTGCCACCCCCTGTCACGCACAGAGCAGGGCCGATCAGGGGGTTGGGGCGCTGCCCCCTGTCACTCACAGAGCAGGGCCCATCAGGG